GAACTTCCTCGCTGTTGCCTTCGCATATATATTTCAATCAGGAGCAGACAAGTCAGTTTAGGACCAATTTGTAACCAGAACTGTGTCAAGACTTTAAAGTTGACAGCCCGTGTGAGAGGCCAAGTATGAATAAATGAAACAATATGCCCGATAGTAAGATGTTATCTCATGGTGTTAATGATATCTGTGGCATTAAGACGGTTTTAGGAAGGAAACACATCATTGGAAAACCTGTCGTATAAAAAAATATCAAGTAAAAATATTGGTCGTGGCCAAGCAAGCCAGAAAAGTTGACAAATTCAAGTACAAATGTTGGTGAACGTCAGAATGGCGGGTGTATGATCATAGAAATTAACAAAATAAATACGATTAATTAATACCTGAGGTGTACCTTGGTGTACCTTTAGTTATTTATTTTGTACTTCTCTAAGATGGGAGCAATTACGATTGCAAAATGAGCCGCCAACCTGATATCAGGTTGGCGGGTGTATGCTGAAATTGGACGAAACAGGTAAGTTATGGTTTTCTAATATTTATCATTATTTAGTACCTGAGATGTACCTCAAAAATAATGAATATGAACCAAATGCGACGAATAATTAACGAGAAAATCAATACGAAAAATTTGATGTCCACCTTTTTTTTGATGGCCACCATTTTTTATAAGAAGTTAAAAAGTACCGACACAGATAATACATACCGTAGTATTTTTAAAGTCTGTTTTTTATGGCACGCACACTTTTGCATTTGCCAACGCCATTAATTTGCTAAAATCAAAAAGTTAGTGTGTTGATAGTAGCGCCCTCCTGTAAATGTCATAAATAAGGTTGTCCAACGTGACAACAATCGGAACTAATAATCGAGACATCGTCTTCCTCTTCTTCAAATTTTATTCTCTTCTTTTTTTCCTCTCCTGTCCTTCTTCTGTTTCTCTGATTTGTAAAATAAGAAGAAATAAGACGAAAAAATAAAAAGATGAGAAAAGAATAAAAAGATATAAGGCAAAAAAAATAAAAAGATAATAATAAGAAGAAGAACGTGAGAAGATGAAGAAGAAGAAGAGGAAGAAACAAAGAAGAGAAACAGAAGTAGATGAGAAGAAGAAGAGATGAAAAGAAGAAAAAAATCATATTAGAAGAAGAAGACTATGTCCCGATTGTTGGCACGTTGGACAACCTTATTTATGACATTTACAGGAGGGCGCTACTATCAATACTAACTTTTTAATTTTAGCAAATTAATGGCATTGGCCAATGCAAAAGTGTGCGTGTCATAAAAACAGACTTAAAAAATACTACGGTATGTATTATCTGTGTCAGTATCAACTTTCTAACTTGTTATAAGAAATGGTGGCCATCAAAAAAATGGTGGACATCAAATTTTTCGTATCGATTTTCTCGTTAATTATTCGTCGCATTTGGTTCGTATTAATATATTTGTGAGGTACATCTCAGGTACTAAATATTGATAAATATTAGAATACCATAACTTACCTGTTTCGTCCAATTTCAGCATACACCCGCCAACCTGATATCAGGTTGGCGGCTCATTTTGTAATTGTAATTGTTCCCGTTTTAGGGAGGTACAAAATTAATAACTAAAGGTACACCAAGGTACATCTCAGGTATTAAAAATTCATATTAATATTATTCAATTCTGTGACCATACACCCGCCATTCTGACGTTCACAAATGTTGACATCATAAGAATCTTAAAGGCTTAATTAAAGGATGCGACTGATTAGCAAACCTTAGTCACAACTTCAGTACTGGCAAGCACTCTACAATTCTATGCTCTCTGCTGCACATTGCTCAATTAACAGTATGAAAGCCTGTACGTGATTCAATGAGCCAGCCCGTATATAGCGTCCGTAACAGTATATGAGAAGGAAACGTCTTTTCACGATGACAGTCGCTATAATTGAGTTGATCAATTCAATGCAACATTGTACGAGGGCCTAGTGATACAGTATAAATAGGGATAGAGTCGCCTGCACAAATGTGAAAACAAGCCCAACATATCGGTACCATCATCAGAAAGCAAAAAGTATTAAAATTAGAATAATCGTCCAAGAGAAATGCCTATGCAAACCATAGATTAATTATGCAGGAATCAACTTGATGCTCTACTATGCCTCTTTAAACGAGACTGCGAGCGAATCTATGGTACCTTTAAGTTAAATAGAATCAAATAGAAATAGCGGTTATTCCACTGATCTTCAATTCTCCATCGACTCGCCACATAATTTTTTTTCCTTATTCTATTGCAATCTATCTTCAGGAGGACATTCAGCAATATTTCTGTTTATTATTTATCAGTGGAAATTGGGGTGCATATCCTGTGACATGTTCCATCAATGGGGGTATTATGAACTTCCACAACACAAATCCCTCTACTTACTAAGTTACTACTACTGTTTTCAGATAGGTATTATGGTTATTCGCAGTACTGTATACTGACTGGTTACTTTGACAGTCTTCAATTAACTTCATACTTTAGGCAGCCATGGAAAACGAATCCTAAATGGAATGTAAATAAGGTCCTGATTCCTGAAGGAGGTATCTTACTTTGTATGGTTTTCTAAAACAAAAACAAGTAAGGAGGTTAACGTAACTTTCGGAGTGTGGTCCCGCCGAGTGTTGCCATTTGGAAGGTCACAAAAACCTTTGGATGCAAACATTCCTAAACTGGTTCCTACAATGAGAGCCGCGTGGGCCGAAATCTTGTTGCTCCAGGGTTGCCAGACTAATTTTTGGAACTTGCAATTTGTATAATGGCATATTTTTCAAGATGGAGAAGTTTATTTTAGGGCAACATCTCTTATGGGCCTTTTGTACATACTTTTGAATAATACGTATCCGATGTGTGAAATTTTTAATGAGATTTGAAATTCGAAATATTTAACGGTTCGATTTTTTTAACGGGATCCGAACTATCGGTTTTTACCTAAAACCCATCAACAATCTAATACATTTTTGTTGCAAAATCGCACCTACATAATTACTAAACTGAAATAAATTAACTTGACGTGCCTTCCAGTAATTTAATAGCAATATTTTACGTGTTGACACCCCTGTCTGCGCCCATGCACTTTATTTTTCTTCGTTGTCACACCACTCCGGCCAGTTTTTTGGCACCACACCAAATGCATTCAGGGAAGTTTCTTACGTTCATTTCACTTACAAATGCTGGAGAGATACGGTTTCCTTCCTCAAGGGAATTAATAGAAAGAAACACTTAAGAACTTTATTTGGGATGGAGATTTTTTGAAATGTCATTTGGGGGAGTAAGTCTTAAACAGTTTTGCTGAGTAATATTTTATGCCTCTAAATGGAGGAACCATTACATTGTTCAGATTAAAACCCTGATGTCAGACTTCATGAGTCACCGTGGCTTAATGCCGACACGGCTTATCGCGCCCTTCGAAGTGTGGAATATTTTTCTAGTTGGAAAATAAGTTTGAATTATTCAAGCTTACAATATCCTAGAGTCAATTACATCCTAAAAAAGTAATTTCTTCGTTTAATATGTGCCCAGACTAACAATAGCTTTATCCAAAATTTCAAAGGTTCTTTGACGATTTTTTGTCTCAATCCAATAAGATCACGTGGTCTTTGGTCAAGTCAAGATCGTGACTCATGATGGACAAAATACGCGACCCTATACTATGACACTTACGTCATCATTTTCTTTAACTTTTTGCCACCTGAAGAGTTGACTTCTAGGGTTGCCTAGAATAAAATGATAACTTTGTTATTCAACCTCGGTGCAAATTAATGTTTTTATTTAGTGATGACGCTGATGACGTAATCCTGTGCTGCCGCGTGGGACGGCATAAATGGAGTGTGTCAAGGACCCGTTAATTCGACAGATGGCAGTAAAGTCAAATAGTCGAGATGAAACGACTTTTTTATTGCTGCGGAATTCGGCGGAAGACTGCGGGCAACCGCCGCTGGTGACTGCGGTTTTGGGCAACTGCAGTTGATTTAGTTGAAGGATATCTCATATCCTGTAGAGGCTTGCCGTTATACAGTCATTTAAATTAAGGATGAATAGTCTTGGCGACGCAATAAAAGGAGAGCTCAGCTCTCAGAGCTGGCCTGAAATATGCTTTAAACTTATATTAAAAGGGCTATCACCAGCATTAGGATCACTACAGCAGCGCAGCGAAGGTAAACACGAAAAATTAATTAAATATACCTAGCTCTAACATTAAGCTGTACTAAAAACTGTAAGTGAACTCATGCTGATAAATTGCTAAAAAAATGATGAAATAAAATAAGACGAGAAACATTTAACATTAGTTCAAAACTTCAAATAAGAAATATCAAATAAGACCAAAAACATCGTTCAAATAAGATTTCGAGGAGCATCATTCACGTAAAGCATAACCTACAAATACTACGCTAACTGTGACTAAATCTGTACACACTCCTTATCTGCGCATCTAATCGTGTGGAACAATAACAAAGTGTGGCGACGTAATGTAATAACACGCCGGCGAGATGAACTGCTTGTCGTCTGAGATAATAACATCAATGTAGAGATGACGGTTAGGGAGGACTGATTGGGACTTGGGACTAAACTTCATCCTAACCCCAGAATACAAACATAATAATATTATGACGCATTTATGTTGCATATTCTTAGTTCTAAGATCCCCAGGGTTCGAAAATATCCGATATTTATTATAAATATCAAAATATCGGATATTTATGATATATATCCGATATATATCAACTTTGATATATGGGCATTTCTCCACTAAATGGAAAGNGTAAAACAAAGGGAGGTATACTAAACACAATACATATTTTTATTGATTAATTTCTGACATTAAGTTTCTATGGTATGGGAGCTTCATTTTCAGACCACTGTGCGTCGTCGAGTATCTCGGTCGTCAAGTATCGATACAGAATCGGTCGTCAGTCACTCGTATCGAATCGTTTTAGGAAAATGTATAGTAAAAATCGTAACAAGTATTGGTATTCTATATTATTAACCACTACTTTTGTTTTTTGTAATGTTTCCCAATTTACCTGAGGTGATTTCTGGAAGCAGTGACTCATTATGGTCAACATCTTATTTTCTGTCTAATAAAGCTTGAAGAATTCTATTTCTTTCTCTCTGAATACTGTTGGACTCTTCTATTGCTTTTACAAGTGTTTCAAATTTCTCTCTATCCCTTTTTTCTTGCATATTTCTCAACTCCCTTTTAATTTCTGAAGCAAACTTTTGCTCCATTTCTTCACTGTGACTGTACCCTGTTCCTAAAGACTTAGGTTCGTCATAAATCATTTCAAACAAGTGATAATAAGGCCAGTTATTGCACTTTCCAGTGGCCAACTTTTTCTCTCTTAACCTCATATATGTTTGCTTCAAGTTACGAAACTTTCTATCACATTCTTCTATAGCGAGTCCCAACCTAGAGGCAATAATCTTCCATACATTCCTCTTCTTCACAAGTGGATCATTGAACTTATCCTTATTCTCTAAATAGTATTTTAGCAGCTGGTCAACATAATCATCATCTTGATACTTGTAAACTACTTTTTCTACTACATTATCATTGTTAGATGGGTATGATGACTTGTTAAAGATTGTTTCAAAATCCTTATAATATCTCCATTTTGTGGACTTTCCTGAATTGGCTTTCATTTTTAATCTGATAAAAGTCTGTTTTAAATTTCTAAACTTTTTATCACATTGAAAAGGACTCACACCTACAACTGTTGAGATTTCTTTCCAAAGTTCTTTCTTTTGGTATCTAGGGTTTCTGAATTTGTGTGCCGCTTGGCTGTAAGCCTGGATCAGCTGGCTTGTCTTGGCTCTGTCCCAGGGTCCCACAGTAGGGTTGTAGTTGTAGAAAATTCTTTCAAAATACTGACTGTATTGCCATTTCATTAGTTTCCCACTCTCTTGACTTCGTCCCAGGCAGTTGAAATAATTTCTCTTTAGATTCTTAAACTTATGGTAGCAATTATACTCTGTTGTGTTCAATGCTGTGGCTATATCCTTCCAAATTTCTTTTTGAAGACAATCTGAGCTCCGAAATCTGTTGAGATTCTCTATGTAGAGACTTAACAGCCTCCTAACTTTACCATCTTCCCACGGCTCTAAGATAGAAGATGGCAATGATTTGCATTCTTTGAATACTTCTTCACAGATATTGAAATGAACCCATTTGATATCCTTACCCATTCTTTTCTTTTTCAATAGTCTTATGTAGGTCCTTCGAAGGTTTTTATACTTTTTACTACATTCATCTGGTGTGGCTCCAACTAAACAGGCAATTTCATTCCACAAGCTTCTGTCTTTGGTAGCATTCTTAAACCTATTTTCAAGGCAAAGTGTGAGTAACATCTTAATTTTGTTCCGATCCCAGAAGTTTTCTTCTTCTTGTTTAGGAACTTCCTTGTCACAGTTTTGTATGGTCTCCTCAGGTATGACGACTGGGGCTTCATTTATTTGAATATACTGTCGATGGTCTACAGCATCAACAATATATCTTGCCTCTTGATTAGCAACTGAAAATTAAATATTAGATTCATCATCATCATTTCAGCCATGGGACGTCCAAATATTATATTATGTCCTACATATTTACGTAATACTACTACTATTTAATATTCAGCTATAGGTCTTTATTAAAAAGGAATAGCAAAATACTTACGAGGCGGATTTTGTATCGTGAAATTATAAACATTACTTTGGTCTTCTCGTACCACAAACCAGTAACTTTGACTTTGAGGATTATTTATATCCATAACTGTTGAAAAAGTCCGCTCAAAACTTAATCAAACAATACTAAACACTAATAAATCGTATCGTAACAATGTTTTCAAGATAGAGGTGCTTGTATTTTTATGGCGGATGATGGATAAAGCCTAAGGAAGAATGGAATTAAGGAAAAAGGACATTCTTCATCTGCATCTTCTTTTTCCAACGTAGTGATTGTTCAGTGATTTAATTAGATTTTGTTTGTGTTGCAGATAAAAATGTCTGAAATGGAGAATAATCTGTGTTAATGACAGTGACAGAATGACAGAAGACCGATAGAGACCATGGACCATGGAGAATCGAGAAGTATTTCTCTATGGATTCAAAAATACAGTGGCGCCACAAGCGGCCAAAATAGAAAAGTAATAAGTTAAACTAGGGCAAAGGGCGGGTTTACATAAATCCTAATTAGTAATTCCACTGGACGTATACTTTTGGATTAAATCATTAAATAACACGAATCAGCCCCTCTAGGTAAAATGCCAAATGGGACAATTTTCATATCGAAAGATGGTTTAAAAGCCTTCTTTTATGGAGTTTCAACGGATTCCATTTTCGATTTGATCAAAAAGTGCCACTTTTCTAGACCCACAGGTTATTTTGGTGTCGTTTCAATGATAAAAGTCGATAAAAGTAAAACTACCAGCGCTATTTCTGTAACAACAAAACATCTTGAACTTGGCCATTCAATTCCCCCATATTAGGGGGAAGAACAACACTATTGTTCTAAATTTTGCAATGTTGGCATTACTTCTTGACCGACGCCATATTGTTGATGGACGCAGGGTATTTTTGTTGAAGCTCCACGACGTTTTCGATTTTTGTTGTATTTTCTCAGGTTTATCTAAAACAATAGTTTGTGATTTAAAGATAATTTGCCGTAATAGTGTACTGTTTTTGATTGTGACTTATTATGAATTGTGTCATTAGCATCGTTGGATCGCAAATTTGACAGGTATGTTGCCCAAGCTTAGCATCTTTTCTTCATATTTGAATACCTAGCAGCACGTAAACTATGCAATTATTTTTTAAAACTATCGTATTATATTGTTTCAAATAAAATTTTATTTTCTACTCTACATTTAAGTTTTTGGACAAAATAACCTAAAACAAGTGGCGGGAAACTATCAGTACTGCCAACAAGAAAAAATGTAAATAAATAATGCTGCTGATGATGCGGGATGCTCAACAAACAAAATAGGTGTAGGTAGTCATCAAATTATCGAACTCAGATCATAGAATTCTATGATCTGAGTTATCGAATATATGAAAGATGACAAGGAAAATAGATAGGCCCGAATGTTCAGGTTTCAGTCTTACTTTATATTAAAATTTTTGTTTTAAATATTTATATGATGGGACTTTTTGCATGCCTAGTTGTACATAATTTACTAGCTTTCCGCCCGCAGCTTAGCCCGCGGTTTTCCCGGAAATTATACGAATTTTTCTCGCTGTAACTGCTACTTCTTCTCAGCAGCAGCCCATATGTTGTCCCGAAGTGGTGGTAGGGCAAGCTATATTTGGGACGTGTACGTGCATAAGTGCCCTGGGCCTATGTACTGAATAAACTATTTGTTTTTTTTTTATCCACAACACGGAAGCTCTTGGACTGTATCTCACCTGATGGAAGATGATGATCAGGCCGAAGGTGGAAGCGAGCTTGACTGGGAATCCTCAACCACGAAGGAACTGGCTGGCTATCTTACCTCTAAGCGCAGGAACACAACAATGCTGTTAACATTGTTGTTATGGCGACAGACTTAGGTAAGATGGTGGTAGCTAGCCAGGCGGACTTAGAACAAGCCCTACTACCAACCAAACCGAATAGAAAAATCTGCCCCCACTGGGAATCGAACCCGGGACCTCTGCGTCTGAAGCAGGTGGTCTTACCACTTGACCACAGAGCTTAAAACCCTATTTGCAAGAATAAGAATGTTTTTATTCAGCATAATTATCATTTAAGGTATACAAAGCAAAAGTAAGTATACATAAAAAAACAAAAACATAACAAACAATAAATAAAAACATATGCTGAATAGGCGCCCGCTCAGCAAAAATCGCGACATGACAAACGTCATGCCGAGAAGCTGGTTTTCAGCGGGAACCAATGCGTGATGAGGGTTGCGCGCCCTTCTGGTCGAGTCCTGTGGCCTGAAATAAATTATATGTTATTGTTGTAGCATGTCGGGCGGGCAGCTGGTGGTGCTGGACCGGCTGGGGCGCGAGGTGAAGCGGTTCGCGCTGGCGGGCGGGCTGGCCACGCTCGGCAGCGACCCGCGCGCGCACATCCGCGTCATGCTGCCCTCCGTCTGCCCGCACCACGCCACCGTCGTGGTGCACGCGAGCCAGGTATGTCATGTAATAACTTTTAAAAAAAATAAAACCGACTTCAAATGCGTGAACACAAAAAAAAACTAAAAATTGAAAATATTGCGTATAAAAAAGTTNTATGAAGTATTCACGTAAAAATAACATTCCCCTGGCGAACATTCCCCTGTCATTTCATAGCACAGGGTACTGTTCATACCACAGGGGACTGTTCATACTACTGTTTTCTTAGGTTTTGACCACTAAAATAACGTCTTTTTAGTAGGTATTATCTCAAAATTTTACCGAAAAAGAAGCTACGAATACGCATAGCTGTGCAATTATGATATCATCGACTTGAAACATTACCCTAAAAGAAAAATTTAAAAAAAGAAGAAAAAAGAAAAACTTTAATTAAAATCAGTTAAAGATATGAGTTGTCGTGAGCATAGGCTAAGGCTGTAAAAAAGGTTTGGAGGGAGCACTGTGCCAAGTTTCGTGCAAAAAAGAAAGTCATGAAGACATAACAAANTGAAAAATCGTAGAACATACATGGAGGTAAAATCGATAGGTCTAGTCCTCACCTATCACCTGCCTTCGGCTTGACACCTTACAAGAAACACCCTGTATATCCCTTGATATATATCCTCGAACCCTGAAGATCCCTAAATATTTAAAACTCTGTGTAAAGCACACAGGGCACATTAGTTTACCCTACAGTATAGGGCCTACACCATCATCGTTTTGGCAACATGTCGACTGATGCTGAAAAGAATTGGCGCTAGACAGTCTTATCTTTCAGACTTTGGTTTATTTACTTACAGGCAAAACAATTTACCGTCTAACACTTAGGTAACGGAGCAAAGCTTGAAAAGAAACTTAATCCAATAATAAGTCACGCCAGTTAGAAAACCCATTAAACAAGGTAATATTTACAGTCTCAACGATTTTGAACTGAGTTTGTTGCGGCTCTCTGGTAGGGAAAAGAGATTATGTACATGAAAAGGCCAAAAATGTCTACAATATGCCTTATCTCAACGCCATCTAATCAAGCAGATTATGTAGAACAATAACGAAGTGTGCCATCGCCCAGCTGATGTTGATGAACCGTTTGTTTTCTTAGCTAATAGCAATGATGCTTTTATAGGCGCTTGTTTTGGGGTAACTGGAGTAGACTTATTTTTAGTGACCAACGTAAGGGACACGTCCGAATTGATTTTTCTTTTGTAAGAAACACGCTTTCGAGACCGCATCCCTTTTGGTGTATTTTGATGGATTTCCTGCCAAAACCTCAGAGATTTCGCCAAGAAGTATTTAAGTTAATGTGAAGTATTAAGCCTATGTAAAATAGGTGTGTAATGTCTATTTGGCAGTCGGTACTTACAAATTAATTACAGTCGATGTATTTTTATACAATTAATTATAAAAGACAAATTTTATTGAGGTAAATGTGGTCATAATTATGACAAAAGATTACTATTATTAGCTTTTTGTTTGGATGAATCAAATTAATATTTCTGATTCAATCATGATTCACAAGTTTTATAACCTTTAGTCAGTGTTGGCAACCGAAAACAATGAATAGAAGTGGATCAAAAGTCAAAACATAACATAAATAGAATAGAACTTACTAAAGTATTTATTAGATAAAATTTATTTATGAAGCCAAATCTCAATTATTGATGCTACTCGAGTCTGAGGTCTGAAGTGGCAATATACTATTTTTATACGACACTCGAGTGCATTCATCGGCACTTATCGTTGTGCGGACCGTAAACAAAGTCAAATGAGTCATTCGTGTCGTAGTAAAGTTTGACAAACTGGACGTCTGTTCGCGTAACACCTACGATGTTTAGAGATTATTGTACCTACTACCTAGTAGTACCTAGCATTAGAATATTGAAAGAACTAATTTCAATATCTAGACTAAGGCCCAGAACAGACGGTGAAACGCAACTGCAACGAAACTGCAACTTTCTGATGATTCTCATGAATGAAACTGAAACTGAAAGGTTCAAACTGGTCGCGTCATGTGTGGTCTCTCAACGGACGCTATGGCAGAAACTTAGATAGATGCAACTCAAAAGTAACTACCAGTTGCAGTTTCGTTGCAGTTGTGTTTCACCGTCTGTTCTGGGCCTTAGAGAACTAAAAAACGGAAGTCGAACTTTAACTTCGAACTCCTCCTATATTCTTCTGATTAATTTAGTTGTGGGTGGGTCCAATGACAGTTTACCTTTCCCCAGGGACAAACTTGACCTTCACTGGTTGGGTTTTTATTGACGGTCAAGCTGTAGATCCTGGCTACACAGGAGTTGCAGCGGTGGGAACGAGAGGTGGGAATACTCCCTTATCTAGATAACTAGTTCGGCATGGTCATACACGGTGCCTAGTTCAAAACCATCGACGTATTTTGGGCATTGCGGTGGCTCCGGTAGTTACTCACACAGCAAGTAAAACTAAAATATTTTTGTAATAACTTTCGTACCAAAAATTAGCCCGTATATCAAACCTAACGGATCTTTAGCAATCAAACGCTGTACAACTGAAACAAACAGGTTTCTAGCTCGTACTTAAGCTGTATAAAAATACCAATAACAACCGTTACTCTAATAACACTAATGCTTGCCGAAAGCTAAAATATACGCTGCGCCTGCGTCTCAGGAAGTTGCAATTCTCTAATTGGATGGCCGGGGCTCGGAATGGATGACGACATCTTAATTGTCTATGATTTAAATTTAAAAATAGACAATAACTTCATTCTGTACTAACTAGGATCTAGTAAGATTGTAGTTAGCTGTGGCTCTAGAGCCATCATAGTTATTCTGTGCCAGAGCACTGTTAACGGTTCAACAGATTTTAAAGATAGTGAAATAATAATTCTACTGTCTTCATTAGCACCTCGCAAAAAATAAGCATTTACCTACTCAGACGCAAAAAATTTTT